TGAAGAAACCTTGATTCGCATACTTATGGAACGAGATGTAGTACATAGGATATCTCCAGAATGGCTTGGGGAGATCATCTGGCAACCTGAAAAACCCTCCATTTAGCATCATCACACCTTGAATTCCAGCACCGGTTATGATCCCCATGAGGAAATCGGGGACTATACTTGCGACGATCATCATCAAGCTCTCTACCAGCAACATGCATGCGAAGAGCACTGAAGCAAAGTACGCAAAGTGCTCAAAACTCTTTTGGAGGCCAACCAAGTAATAAGCTATGGCTCCAGGGATAAGAGAGATGATTAGTAGATAAGGGATGGACGAAAATGTATTGCCAACAACGAACGCGGCAACACCATAATGCCCATTCAATCTCTCTCGCCCAAAGACCTGTTAAAATGAAAATGTAGGATTCTCATGACTTTGGCATAATGAAAAGCAACCGGAATATCAAAGATAAAAAAGAGAAAAAGAAAAAGGAAATAAAGAGAAGTACCTTCATGTCCTCAACAAAGGAGGGGAATCCGCCGATTGCCATAAAAGTAAGAAATGCCGCAACGAACATTAGCATCGAACCTCTTGCCTGCAAATTCGTAAAAATTACGAAACTTGGTAAATGGAACGTGCAATAAAATATAAATCTCTTTCTTTGACGAGTTTGTCACTAGATTATTTAGAACACATATACAGTCACAATGGTAGACCTTACCTGAATTGAACCATAGGTGGATCCGATGTCGTAGAAGATAGTCCCCACACACAGACATAATGCAACGTATACTGCTAAACGAAGCCAGTAATACCCCAAGTCGCGGTACATGTTCACGAACGATCGCTTAGTCAGAACCAGGCTCTGGGTAATGAAGCTTGCTTGACTTCCATTTCTTTCCAAATTTCCTCCAACATTCTAACGGAGACACACAACTTATCAGAAACTCTCCAATCGTGATTTTCAAGTTTCCAATCCATATAATATCAAAATTGCATACCTTTTCGGATATCCTGGACACTTGCTGCTGAACTTGGTGACACATGAGAGATGACAAATAAGATTTGACCAGAGTGTCAATGGCTTCTTCGGCATTCATGCCATTGCCTCCTTGTTCAATGTCCTGACAAGAAATTTTGTTTCATTGGGTCCATGAAATTTCCTTCAATTCTTGAAATTATGGTTGAACAAATCAAGTTTCAGTGGTGTGACTTACAGCGTCAAAGTCCTTGTTAATCGTCCTGAGGTAGTGATCAGATGGATTTCTCAGAGTTGGACATGGGTAACCATTTGATGCAAAAAACTACAAAAAAAAAAAAGAGAAATGGTTAGGAAAATGTTCATTCCTTGCAAAAAGCAAAAATTCATAACCTAGCATTCCAATATCACAAGCACCTGTTCTGCCCCTGATCTAAGGCCAAAATAGACTGTTTTCCCGGAAGAAAGAAGGCAGAGATTGTGGAAAAGCTCAAAGACTTCACTGCTAGGCTGATGAATCGAGGCCATGACCGTCCTCCGGTCATGACGGGCTAGCTTGGCGATGCGGTTCATCACATGGTATGACGCGGCACTGTCGAGCCCACTGGTCGGCTCGTCAAGGAAAAGTAGCTTCGGGAGCGTCAGGATCTCAATGCAAATGCTCACTCTCCTCTTTTGGCCACCACTGAGGCCCTTGGCGCTCCCCCCGCCTATCCTAGTATCTCTGGCATCTTGCAGTCCCATCTCTCTAATCGTCGCCTCGGCTCTCTCCTTCTTCTCTGATTTCGACATGGATTCCGGCAGTTGGAGCTGAGCCGAGTAGTACACGGCTTCTCTCACTGTTAAAGTTGTTATTAGTGTGTCATCCTGAGTCACATATGCCTATACCAAAACCAAAACAAACAAAAAAAGGTGAATAAAGTGAAAATTTACTATGAAGAACGATCTTTATAAACTACGATTTGGCTAGGAAATCTGCACATTGAAATTCAATGCAGCACCGCATCTATCAGCTAGGCTTACCGAAGTTCCGAAAGAAAGTGGTTGTTTGCGACCGTTGATTAAGATCTCTCCTGTCTGTTGAGTGCTTGAACTTAATCTCCCTGCAAAAAGTTCCTTATTAAGAAAAGGGAAGGGTAGAAACCAAAAGTAAGCATGAAATAGATTACTAAATGTTATTTAAAGATTACAGATATGTTACGTACTTCGTCTATTGTTCTCCTCGAAAACAAATTAATCTACTTCTAAATGATTAACTTCTTGAATGTGAAGTTAGAAAGCGAATTCGATTAAATTCATTCAGCTGCAACAGAGCTGAATATGCAGCAGCAATGCAAGAGGGCATACCAAGACTGAAACTTAAGTTCCAATTCACGACCCTCATAACAAGCTGCACCGGGGAAGAAGTGTAGAACAATTAGCTCAAAAGGATCGCCGTTGTATAACCATTCATCAAGACGCTGCTTCCCATATTGGGTAGACAAATCGTGACCGGGAAGGCTATAACAGCCAAAGCCATTGGAATTTTCATTTTGTACGTTGGAAGAATCCGTTTTACGACATGAATGCATTGGGAAATCCATGTCCGTTTTGTTGACATTCGATGTCGGTCGCTAGGTCGTGCAAATAGCTAGGGTCGTTGTAACTCGTGGGGATTAGTCCAGTGTCCATGGACTTTCGACCTCAACGACGTTCAAACAAGAAAAAGCTGTTCGAAGGGAAGAGCCGCCATATTATTCGTCGACTTCACCATAAGAGAGAAGGTAGAACGCGGGGTCCTCGGCGCTCGGCCTCGGATCCTTAGTTAATGAAACATTTATTGTTATAAAAATAGTTTTTCTAGAAAAATATCAAATTTTTAATTATTATTTTCTTTTCTTTCCTTTTTTTTTTTTTGCATTCTTCCCTGGCTGCACGGGGACAAGCCACGGGTGAGGGCAAGCTCACCCAAGACCGGCGAGACTAGAGCCTGGCCACCTCGCCAGAGGTCAGCGAGTTGCGGCGAGCTCGACCTTGCCCGAGGCCGGTAAGGCTCAGCTCACCGGAATCTGGGGAGCTCGACCTTCACCGGCCGTCGCCGTGGCCGACGACCAACCAAAGAAGAAGGAAAATAAAGAAAATAAAAATAATTAAAAATTCATTTTTAAAAAAAAATAAAAATTATTATAAGGGGTGCATAGAGGAAAATCCATACCAAACCGCAAAAAATATTTTCTAGTTCATTTTCAGATTTGAACAAAGCACCGGCAAATAAAGTAATTTTTCTGGAAAATGACTTCCTACAAAATATTTTTCAAAAATATCGTATTTTCCGTGAAATAAATGGAGCGAAGTCTTCATTTTCAAGTACACGAGAGGGAAAAGAACGAGCAAACAGACGGTTAAACAAATTAATATAATCTACAGCATTGAAAGATTCATATTTGTATTTTATAATGTGGAAGAGTTTGATATATAGACAATTTGCTTATAAGATCTTAGATTTTTATATAGAAATGGCAAGTTATCATTCATTATCATTCGTTTTAGTGGCCGACATGATGTTTCATGGAATTTTCTAATAGAATCGTGTTGAGTTTGCTTTACTTATAGCATAATAAGAATTTAAAAGGACAACCTACAGATCAATTATATAGAAGGAGAAATTTATTGGACATGGTACCTCCGAGGGCATCGAGGAGAGTTGACTTGCCGCTGCCGGACGGACCCATGATGGCCAGCATCCGACCCGGCTCCGCATACCCGGTGAGCCCCTGCAATATGGGATGTGTCCCCTTACTCCGGTCCGTCGCCGTCACCCATAAGTCCTTCCACGTCAAGAGCATCCCCTTCTCATCCGCATGCGCTCCTGTGCACGGGTCGGGTCGAGATCCTCCATGGACCCCCGACAGGGGCCTCATGTCACCGTCGCGGGTGTTTGGAGTAGCGGCAAAGCCGATACTGAATGGAAAGACAACCGGGTGGCTTCGGGCGGACCCACCATCATCGTCTCCTTCGGAAGCCGAGCCCCGCATCTCGTCATCATTGCCGTCGGCTTCCTCGGGAGGCGGCGATGAGATTGTCGGACTCGGATTCGGAGTCCACCGGGGCACGTTGATGGGAGAAGGAGACTCCATCGAAAAGAAGAATATTCACCGCCACCGCTGCCGCTTTCTTCTCTTTCTCTTTTCTTAGAGCTGTTGGATTGAAGATTAAGAAGATGGCGATGTGGCTGTGGTACTTATAGGGAGCAAGAATTCGAACGTGGGCTTTGAAACGATTCAAAGAAGGAGTATGAACGGTGATGGGAAGACCACACGCTTTGCTTTCCTCGTTGGACTTTACCTCTTTATGCCCATTGAATAGCCCTCAAACATAAGGCAAAGTGGGAATTCCTTGGTCTTTGGCGGCTCTCTCATGGGTCGTATCTTTCTCCTACTTTTGGCGGATTTCTAAACGTAGTACAAATACCGATTTTTTTTCTGATAGCTACTTTAGTAGTCAGCATCAATTGGCAACCGACTAATCTATGACTGTGGCGACAGTCCTCCTATCCCAACCACGGTCGAGCCCTCGCCAAATTCAGCGAGGGCAATCGCTCCCGGGCAGCGAGGGTTGAGCCCTCTCCAGATCTGACAAGGGCTGCAACGCCCTCGCCGATCCTCACCTATGGCCGGTTGCCAGCTATGGCTGAGCATTGGCCATAGGCCAAAGAAAAAGAAAAGGAAAAATTTTTAAAAAGAGTTTGAAAATTTATTAAAATGTTATAAAAAATTTATCTATTTCGTTTATCTTCAGTCATTTGAACATGAACAAGTACCCAACAAATCTGTAGACTTTCCATAACGTTTATTGATCTATTTCGTTTTTATTTTCAGTTTCTATCCCTTCTTTTTATTTTGCGGGGAGATTAAGCTCAAGCACTCAACAGACAGGAGAGATCTTGATCAACGGTCGCAAGCAACCACTTTCTTTCGGAACTTCGGTAAGCCTAGCCGATAGATTTGGCGCTGAGTTGAATTTCAGTGTGCAGATTTCCTAATTTAATCGTAGTTTATACAAATCGTTCTTCACTTTATTCACTTTTTGTTTTTGTTTTGGTTTTGGTATAGGCATATGTGACTCAGGATGACACACTAATAACAACTTTAACAGTGAGAGAAACCGTGTACTACTCGGCTCAGCTCCAATTGCCGGAATCCATGTCGAAATCGGAGAAGAAGGAGAGAGCCGAGGCGACGATTAGAGAGATGGGATTGCAAGATGCGAGAGATACTAGGATAGGCGGGGGGGGGGGAGCACCAAGGGCCTCAGTGGTGGCCAAAAGAGGAGGGTGAGCATTTGCATGGAGATCCTGATGCGCCCGAAGCTCCTCTTCCTCAACGAGCCGACCAGCGGGCTCAACAGCGCCGCGTCATACCATGTGATGAACCGCATTGCCAAGCTAGCCCGTCGTGACCGGAGGACGGTGATCGCCTCGATTCATCAGCCTAGCAGTGAAGTCTCTTTGAGCTTTTCCACAATCTCTGCCTTCTTTCTTCTGGGAAAACAGTCTATTTTGGCCTTAGATCAGGGGCAGAACAGGTGCTTGTGCTATTGGACTACTATGTTATGAATTTTTGCTTTTTGCAAGCAATGAACATTTTCCTAACCATTTCTTCTGATCATTGGTGGATCCGATGTCATAGAAGATAGTCCCAACACACAGACACAATGCAACATAGATTGCTAAACGAAGCCAGTAGTACCCCAAGTCGCGATACATGTTCACAAACGATCGCTTAGTTAGAACAAGGCTCTGGGTAATGAAGCTTGCTTGACTTCCATTTCTTTCCATATATCCTCCAACAGTCTAACGGAAACACACAACTTATCAGAAACTATCAAATTCGTAATTTTCAAATTTCCAATCCACATAATATCAAAATTGCATACCTTTTCGGATATCCTGGAGTGGATACTTGCTGCTGAACTTAGTGACACACGAGAGATGACAAATAAGATTTGACCAGAGTGTCAATGGCTTCTTCAGCATTCATGCCATTGCCTCCTTGTTCAATGTCCTGACAAGAAATTTTGTTTCATTGGATCCATGAAATTTCCTTCAGTTCTTGAAATTATGGTTGAACAAATCAAGTTTCAGTGGCATGACTTACGGCGTCAAAGTCCTTGTTAATCGTCCGGAGGTAGTGATCAGACAGGATTTCTAAGAGTTGGACATGGGAAACCATTTGATGCAAAAAACTGCAAAAAAGAAAAAAAAGGAAGAAGAAATGGTTAGGAAAATGTTCATTCCTTGCAACAAGCAAAAATTCATAACCTAGTATACCAATACCACAAGCACCTGTTCTGCCTCTGATCTGAGGCCAAAATAGACTGTTTTCCCATAAGAAAGAAGGCAGAGATTGTGGAAAAGCTCAAAAAGACTTCACTGCTAGGCTGATGAATCGAGGCGATCACCGTCCTCCGGTCATGACGGGCTAGCTTGGCGATGCGATTCATCACATGGTATGACGCGGCGCTGTCGAGCCCGCTGGTCGGCTCGTCGAGGAAGAGGAGCTTCGGGCGTGTAAGGATCTCGATGCAAATGCTCACCCTCCTTTTTTGGCCACCACTGAGGCCCTTGGCGCTCGCCCCGCCTATCCTAGTATCTCTCGCATCTTGCAGTCCCATCTCTTTAATCGTCGCCTCGGCTCTCTCCTTCTTCTCCGATTTCGACATGGATTCCGGCAATTGGAGCCGAGCCGAGTAGTACACAGCTTCTCTCACTGTTGAAGTTGTTATTAGTGTGTCATCTTGAGTCACATATGCCTATAGCAAAACCAAAACAAAAAGAAAATGAATAAAGTGGAAATTTACTATTAAGAACGATCTGTATAAACTACGATTTGGCAAGGAAATCTCCTGATTGAAATTCAATGCAGCACCACATCTATCGGCTGGGCTTACTGAAGTTCCGAAAGAAAGTGGTTGTTTGCGACCGTTGATTAAGATCTCTCCTGTCTGTTGAGTGCTTGAACTTAATCTCCCTGCAAAAAGCTGCTTATTAAGAAAAAGGGAAGGGTGGAAACCAAAAGTAAACATGAAATAGATTACTAAATGTTATTTAAAGATTACAGATATGTTAGGTACTTCGTCTATTGTTCTCCTCGAAAACAAATTAATCTGCTTCTAAATGATTAACTGCTTGAATGTGAAGTTAGAAAGCGAATTCGGTTCAATTCATTCAGCTGCAACAGAGCTGAATATGCAGCAGCAATCCAAGAGGGCATACACTCAAGTTCCAATTCACGACCCTCATAACAAGCTACACCGAGTAAGAAGTGTAGAACAATTAGCTCAAAAGGATCCCCGTTGTATAACCATTCATCAACCAACAGACGCCGCTTCCCATATTAGGCAGACAAATCGTGACTGGGAAGGTTATTACAGCAAAAAGCCATTGGAATTTTCATTTTGTACTTTGGAAGAATCCATTTTACGGCATGAATGCACTGGGAAATCCATGTCCGTTTTGTTGACATTCGATGTCGGTCGCTAGGTCGTGCAAATAGTTAGGGTCGTCGTAACCCGTGGGGATTAGTCCAGTGTCCATGGACTTTCGACCTCAACAGTGTTTTATGTTGTATGATCGGTGACGCGGCGGAAGCAGATCGTAACTTTGCAATTAAGTCGGGAGCCGTAGAAACGATAGGAAAATAAAACGAAGAATAATAAAAGGACACGAGAAATTTACGTGAATGTCGGAACCTACGTTCACGGGGAGAACCGGCAAATAATCCACTAATAAATCGAAGAATTACAGGATTACAATTACTCAAGCTCGAATATCTCCGAGCTCACGCCTCTCTCCTGGAGCTCTCTTCTCGGCTTGCTTGCTTCTCTACGCCCTCTGCTCCCCCCTTTTATCGGAGAATGGGATGTAGAAAGGAGACAAATGCCGCCCATCTTCAGAAGCCAATGCATGCGTCTTCCGTGCAATGAATGATGGCATGAGCGCGTCACCGTCATGCACCGCCACAGGAAAAGATGGACGTGGGCTTCTGCCTTCTTTCTTTCTTCATTTAACGACAAATAGACAAAAGGAAGCACACAAAAGTTGACCGGATGTGCGTGCATTTACGAGGAAGAAGGGAAAAAATGGACGTGAAGGCGTGCACATAAAGGCCTTCATTAATTGCAAAAAAAAATCGTATTTTTTTGCGAAACAAATTAATATAATCTACGGAATTGAAAGATTCATATTCGTATTTTATAATGTGGAAGAGCTTGATATATAAGACAATTTGCTTATAAGATCTTAGATTTTTATATAGAAATGGCAAGTTATCATTCGTTATCATTCGTTTTAGTGGCCGACACGATGTTTCATGGAATTTTCTAATAGAATCGTGTTGAGCTTGCTTTACTTATAGTCTAATAAGAATTTAAAAGGACAGCCTACGGATCAATCGTAGAAAGAGAAATTTATTCCATATGGTACCTCCGGTAGCGGCGAAGCCGATACTAAACGGCTAAACGGAAAGACGACCGGGTGGCTTTGGGCGGACCCGCCCTCATCGTCCCCTTCGGAAGCCGAGCCCCGCATTTCGCCGTCGGCTTTCTCGGGAGGCGGCGATGAGATTGTCGGACTCGGATTCGGAGTCCGCCGGGGCACATTGATGGGAGAAGGAGACTCCATCGGAAAGAAGAATATTCACCGCCACCGCCACCCGCCGCCGCCGCTTTCTTCTCTCTCTCTCTCTTTTCTTAGAGCTGTTGGATTGAAGATTAAGAAGATGGCGATGTCGCTGACAGTCCTCTCGAGAGGCTCTCGCCCCAATCACGGTCCAGCTCTCACCAAATTCGACGAGGGCTCACCAAATCCAACGAGGGCCGCAACACTCTCGCCGGTCCTTGACTACGGCAGGTCACTAGCCACAAAAGCCAAAGAAAAAGAAATTAAAAAAAAATTAAAAAATTTATTAAAATATTATTCACGGCAGCGCTGCATTCACATCATCAATTTCCGGCCTAAATTGATCGGATTGACTGAATTGGTACCAATGTAAAAAGGTTTATGATTAAATTAGTCCAATTGAAATGTTTAAGATTGAATTAGTATATATACATTAGGTTTAGAACTTTTTTAGTACTTTTCCTTCCATCCCAACCACAGCGAGTCTGTTAGATTAATACCTCCAACTTAACTATAATTTGAGCATGTAACTAAATAACATCCATGGCGAGCCCAATAGATGAATACTAATTATTATATCGACGTCGACAATACTTACAACATTGTGAGAATCGATAAATTTGACAAATGGGTGAATTGATATTATTCGACTCGGTAGAAAGTTGTTCCATATTAAGACAAGCTTAATATAATATCGCACCCGCTCCATAATTTGATTATCTTTGACTTCACTTATGTGCTTGACCTAAGTCGTCTCACTGTTAATTGCGATTATGCATCATGGATGTGTGCGTTGACCCCGGGGTTAGATGGTTAAGTGTCTCAATGAAGCAATGTCTAACCACAGTTAATGAGGCAAAGCACGATAAGATGGTCAAACCATAATTAATCAAATTTATGGACTTTATGTACTAGCAAAAAGGGACCAATTTAGCTGGATTTCTACGGATCAAAGCTGAACCGGCGTTTACATGGCCGGTTGGTTTGGCCGGTCAAAAATTCCAAAGATCCCATTTGACGTTGACTCGGTGTATTAGAGGGTCCGCATCGTTTGAAATAATTAATCAACGGAAAATTAGGTAATCTTATATTTTAGGTAGTTTGATATTTTAACTTTAAAAGAAAATCACAAAAATATCTTATGCATATCTAATATATAGAATTATTTTCATAATTTTCATGTCATTGCATGTCGTATTAAATTAGTTCATATTTCTTTTGTCCATCGTTAGAATTAGGTCATATAAATTGCATGTCGTATGTCATTAGATAAATTAGGATTGTATAGGCTTAGATCAAAAGTACATCTCATGCATTGCATGTAGTTTAATTTTTATAAAAAGAATTTAAAACCAAAAAGAATTAGAAGTGGTGTTTAGGCTATGCAAGCATTCTTAATTAACATATTGCGGATATTGAGATATTAATCATAGTGAAGTTATGCTTTGCTTCGCATTGAGATTAGCTCTATTTCGAGCAATTTATTTATTATTTTTTTTTTTTGGTCGAAAATGCATCCTTTCATTTCATGCTTTGATTATTGAGTGTTACGTTAACTACTTGCGCACCCGCATAATCACCTCTTACATGTTTGCTTTTTAAGTTAAGATTGATCAAGATTGCCTGCAAAATATTTTTGGAATTAAAGAGAAAATATATCAAAAGGGCATTAGATTAATCTAGCATAATCAAGACTTCGTATCCATGAATCTCTTATTCGTGAAAGTAAAGTGCTCTCCCACACTTCACTTGGGTGTCTAATCGACCCATCCTTAACTGATTAGCGGCTACTCTTGAATAAACTTATTTGCATGTTAAGTTGATTAAATCATAATCCCAAAGTCGAAGTTGATATGGATTTGCAAAGTCTACGCTAATTTTTTGGGCTTAGTAATCTATTAGCTTTCCCAAATTCATCTCTGGGAAAGCCAGGACAAAGGCGACCCACGCGTTGTGCAAAATTAATATACTTAATGAATAATCACGTTGTTGAGAAAAATTTTAACTGATTGTATATATTGCGGTATAAAAAAAAGTAAATTTTATTTTGTTTTATTCTCTAAAGCAAAACCATGGTCCTTGCACGGTTTATGAGAAGTTATGATAGAAAGTTACATATAGAGATCCAAAGCGTATCTCTATAATAATTATCCCGACCTCGAAGATGGTTGAAAAGAAGTGGAAAAGGAAAATTAAAAGAATAAGATAGAAAAGTAGCAATCAAAGAGGATTCTTTAACATTCTAAAGTATTAATCAAGCTAATAAGAGAAAACTCTAGAAAACTGTATAATTGCTTTTATGTATGTTTACATAAATTAAACAAGAAATTACCACCGAAATTTTTAAAAAATTGGAACTATGCCATTGAAAGTCCTTCACACAGTCTTTTAATAATGCCATTAAGTTGAATAAATCATTTCTTAAAATTACTATTATATCAGGAGAGAAAATCTCAACTCAAGTTGAGAAGATAGAGCCTTCCTCAAATGAGACTTATATCCCATTAAAAAACAATTCAAGATGTTGATGAGACTCCACATGTGATTGTCGCGTTGCATAAAATTTCCTTTTGACAACCTTTCGACCGTTGACTTATAACATTAATCTCTTTTGAGTTTTCACTTCCTTTCACTCTAAATTTGAAAAGATGGATTAGGATAAAATACCTGGAAGTACATAATGTATCCATTCAATTTGAAACTAAGTTAAAAAGAGAAATCTATCATAGCTACGTATATAATATACTAGAATACATGAATTTATGCATGTAAGCTAACGTTAGTAAAATAATTTGAAAATGATAGCTTATCTTATACGTACATAAATTTCACTTAATATTCACTAGCTTTTCTTGTTACGACAAAAGTTAATTCCTAAAAAATAAAAATAAAAATTACAATGATGAAACCTGTATAATCGAAGGGTATCCCTTGCCCACGTCGCCATCCTCCAACCTCAGGCATCGCGTCTCTCTCTCTCTCTCCCCACCCCGCGCCACTGCCTCTCTCCTTTCTCTATAGCTTCCTTGAGTTCACCACCTTGGCCCCGTCGGCCCCATCTCGCCATCAAATCCTTCCCCCTCGCTAGTTGGTTGTGAAATTCATGAAGATATATGCATTTGTTCTTACCGACTAATTGTTTTGCCCTGTGCATTTGTGCTCGTGTTGATGTTAACAAACTTTTATTGATCTTGACATTGAGGGAAATTTCAAATAAAAGCTTAAAATAAGGCCATTTTCTTAAAAGGGAGTTCAGAGTGGATTCTGTCTCGTACAAGAGCTTGGAATGGTCAAATTAGTTTCAAATAAGAACCCGAACTCACAGAGCGACCAAATCTTCACCAGCCGGCTTATTCAAGCGGACAACATCAAAAGCCATACTATTCGAAATTTTCTGCTTTAACCCAATTTGAAGAAGCCCCAAATTGATGCTAGGGTTCTTAGAAGTTTTTTTTTTCGGGCAATTTTCCTCCTAATATCACTAAAGTAGCTTCAATTTAAGGCTCTTTAGTTCATATTCAATGATCATTCGACCCCGACAAGACCCTTAACCTTAGATAAGAGTCGCCAACATCTAGCTCGAATTTCGAATTTTATTGAGGATCAAAATTAGACAGCCAGGAAAATGGGTGCCAAAAATTCTCCTCAGCACCCTCCAGTAGTCACACCACAAGGAGCAAACATTATCTTCCATTTGGGCTTCAAATCATAAAATTTTTCACGTAAAATCGCCCCATTTTGCTACTGGAATAAGCCGGCCGGTGAACATTTAGCTGGCTGGTGAAATCGTGCCCCTATTTGATATTAAATTGGTCACTTCATGCACTTATTTAAAACAAAATCCACTTTATATTTCTTTTGAGAAAATGCCGCAACTTCATATCCTTACTTGAAACTTTGCTCGATTTAAATCGTCCCTCGTCTCTCTCGCTCTCGGTTTTGTTGGTTCGCAGCCACTTTATACGTAGAAGGAAAAGAAAAAGGAGGGAAAGTGAATAGAGCCAAAAAAAATTCAAAATTACTCACGTGGAATGGCGATTTTACCCTTTTCAAGGGAAAACTGCACAGCAACTTCTGGTCTCCTTCTCGCTCGCTCTCTCTTCCCCGAATTTCCCGACCAAACATCGCCGCCTACGGTGGTCGGAAATTCGCGAGCGCTCTGCTTCTCCTCCTTCCTATCTTCTCCGAGGAGGGAACTGCGTTTCAGAGAGAGAGAGAGAGTGAGTTCACGGCTGTGGAGGCAACGCTTCTCAGCCCAAGGTTCTTCCATCGTGGACCCTTCGCCGTCAAACGAAGTTTCTTTCGAGGTTCGTCTCTCGTTCGCAATTTCTCTCGGGGAAAACTAGCGAATTCTCTCGTTTCTTCAGCGACCCAACTGATAATGACGCGCGGCGGCTGGGGTTTTTTCGTTTCTGGTGATTGGGTGATTTAGTTTTGCATTGTTGGTGTTTTTTTTGTTTCTGGGATTCGACCATTTTAGTCGCCATAGTTTGTTCATTGAGATGGCTGTTACTGATCGATACCCTTTTTCTGGTATTGGTTGGGATGTTCTTTTCTCCTGTTGTTTTGCCTTTTGGTGAGTGATTTCGCGATTGAGATACATGATGGGACTGATATTTGATTTAATTTGCAATCTGGATGTTCGGCTGTGTAAGTAGTAGCTGCAGGATCGAGCCACTGCATATATTTATCTTTTCCAAATCGTTCCGTGGCTCGAAGTTTCTCTAGACATTGACCGTGAGATCGGAGAAATTCCCTTTTGAAAGCTGATTCTGAAATTAACAAACAGAGAGAGAGAGAGGATTTTGTATAGAAATCGCGGGTTTGACAAATTCTGTCCCTGATCACAAAGATCATGGGCTTGAACGATGGATACATTTCCACAGTTCTTGCCTGCCATTCTCCAGCATTCGATATTGTGTCCCTAATGGCGCATCAAATTACTGCTTGACTTCTATAGTGTGACGAAAGTGGGTGTATTAGACGATTTTGAGAGCGCTTTTGTTAGTGTCAACTCACATTGTTAAATGGCTATGTTTCTTCAGGCTGTGGCACCATTCAGTGGTGATGTTCCTATAGCACTCTATTGAACAGCTGCATACAAGTCCATTTTGCTGGCGGCTAGTCCAATTTGCCCGTACGCGCGTGTGTGTGACGCATACTAAAATCTCTAAATGCCAAGAAAGAGAGCAAAGAGAGCTGCTAAACAACCTGCTCCACCACCCGGTGGAGATGAGGAAAGGCCATTAGAGAAAGCCCAAGACGATGCTTCGACGGACCCGGAAGGTGCATAGTTCATATCTTCAGCTGCATCGCATCTATTTGTTATGATCATTTTCGCTGTTGTATGCAGTTAATCTACTTGCAGCTTTTCTAGGCCTTCAATTTGAATGGCCATTATGCTTCTTTGATTTTGGAACTATTTGGCTTGTAAGTTCTTGAGCTTTTGACGACTTCAATATGTGCTTAGTTAAGTTGCCAATAGTAAGACTAGATATATGTTAAGTGTGGGCGTAAGGATTTTTAATCCAAAGTACATCGATCAATCGTATATGTTTACATTCAGCGGTAAAATACAACTGAGTTTTTCACTAATATTTAGGGGAAACTTGGAACAGCAGTAGGTAGTAGCTTATATCAGTTTAGGCAAAGCCAAACTGTTTAAGCACCTATCCTGGCAGTTTTTTCTTGGCTAAGTGGTTTTTCCATGAGAAGTTGAGATGGGTTGTCTTCAAATATTTAAGGTTGTGTAATTGTATTCTTGGGTCTTTCCTTATGTTTTTGTCACCTATCTAATGAATGTCCACAGTGGAAAAAAGAGTTGCAGCAATCAGAGCTATTCGTGATGTACAGATTGAGCATTTGCTGACTGAGTTATGCCTACTGCGCTCGTGTATGACTGAGGAACAGATGGGAAGTCCCGTGCTCCAGTTTTTCACAGAAAATCTTCCACATCTATCATTTGATCTAGACAGAGAAGATGGGCAGTTCAAAGTCCATTGGGGAAATAAAGATGGAAAATTATGTCTGGACAATACTGATGGAAAAACTCTACATGCTTCACTTCTCCACCGAATGTCCATAGCTCATCCTGGAAACTCTGATGCAGTTCCATTCTTTGGTGGCTTTGAGTTTTCCACCAAAGGTGGTTTGTTTGTTCTTGAAGCATACACAACATAGGAAAGATATTTAAAATCCGACTCCTATACTCAGTGGATCTACTTGATTATTGCAGGGAAAGCAGGCCTTCTTAGTTCGGAAAATTTGCAAGTAAGGGACTTTGTATGTTCTTTCAAAGCTTTCATCCTCTAGCTTTTGGCCCTATTAGATGTTGGCTTAAAGAGTGGCACCCTTAAGAATCTTTCACCTCTTATAGCTGCTGTCTTCTCCTTTTTTTATGGACAACCAAAAGATACTCAAACCAGTCTGCAATGATTATTCCTTCTTTGTTCTTGTTTTAGTTAGAGACTGTTCCTGGTATAGTAATCTCATCTCGTTAATGATGAAAATTTCGAATTTTACCCTTTTACTAATATCAGTTCATTGAATGACAGTAGGGCGTCTAAAGAATCTTGTACCTAACCTGACTTTGCTGCTAACTTCACTGATGAATTTCTTGTTATGCTTAAAAAATTGTTATAGGTTTTGGATGAGCCATCAGACTGTCAGATGCTTGGGCTGCCGGATACTCTTAGAACTCCTGGGGTTAGTTTCTGAATAACTATTCAGTACCAACTTTCTCCCCACCCCATCCCCACCCCTCTCCTTTCTCTTCTCGAATTTTGGCTATTTGAACAATTTTGACAAATAACAAATGTAAGGCTCCGAAGTCATCATCTCGGTAACTTAGACATATCTATCGTTTCAGCATGGAGATGGTTGAGAAAACAAAATCCAAGATCTTTCTTCATTTAAGATGAAGTTGTTGTGATTGTCACATAAGCTTGTATTGAACAAAATAGCAAGGAGTTAAAAAGTATAAGTCATAAATTATTTAGAACACAAATAATTGCCTGCCTAACTTCCAAGCGTTATGTTTTGACCAAAAAAAAACTTTCAAATGTCATGAACAACCCACCTTGTCATGTCTCATAAAAAATTCATCTCCTCGACCAATTTTGACAGAAGATTTCATGTGTTTCAAGTTTCATGTATAATCTATGTCACATTGCAGCTATGTAGATATTATCATTTATATCCAAGGCCAGTGAGCCTTTTCCAGTTCGAATTGTAACCTTAAATTTATTTTTCAATTTGAACGTAAATTTTTCTGCCAAAAAAGCCTTGATGTAAAATTGAGGTTGGCACTCTGCATCATTCTAGAAGTAAAGCATATAAACTATGTTTCTTAGGAGGTATGATAGAAACTGTGGACCTTACTGGAACTTTTGAGGCTGTTGCAGGATGTGTATTATGTATCAGAGCTTTGCAGGGATTTTATATAACTGTGGTGACATTATTGCCCATGTAAAACCTATCAGTAAAAGATGCACCAAGTTTTTATGTTCAGCCAAGACTTGTAAGGTGTACCTTTTCATATGCTTTTAAATGGTTTTTTTGGTGAAATTATTCAGTTAAATAGTGACGTTTAAAATAATTAAATGTACAGAATTACATGAGTTCTTTTTTCAGCACTAACTCGGTCTTCAAATAATTAGTGCCCTCTGTTACTTTGTAGTTGGAATTGTTCTGCTTCATATGGTATGTAAATCTCTTTCACCACGTTGCTTGTCCTCTGCAGCTGAGTAGCCAAAGGCTCTCCATAGGGATGACACCTAAAACCTTAAGGTTGCCTAAGCCTGGGGAGATGCTTCTATCTGTTCGTGGTTCTCCTCTCGGTGTCTTCAAAGAAGAGAACATGGAAGTGATAAACGGTATGATTGGATCCGTGTTAGAACCTTTTTGCATTAAGATGTTTAGACAAGGAATCTGTTTAATCAGAAGGGTCAACTGGACTACCTGCAGATGGAGGGATATTGCTTTCTTAGAGCGGGAATTTTTCTCTCTCTCTCTCTCTCTGACTTGTTTTTCTTTCATCATTTGCAGAATCTGATGAAGATTGACTAGATCCAAATCTGTCGGGAATCATGCTTTAAGAGTGGCAGCAAAATGTCGATTCAGTCTAATTGCCACTGCTATAACAGAGAAGCTTTTGCCATGATAAGCGAATCTGAGCTTGTATTGAAAATTGAATTGCTGCTGCTTATACATCGAAAATAGGTGCTGGTCAACTGCACTGTCTTGTTTCTAGGGATGTATTCTTCCTTTCTATGTCGATGGGTCAAGTAGATCATTGAGCTTATTCTGTTACATGCACCATGAAATGTTTCTGTGGCATAGCTAACTCGGGTTTGCTGATCCATTACTTTTGCTTGCCAATCTAAAAAAAAATTTCAAGCCTGAAACATTTAAATTGCAGTTCTTTTTGCGGGGAAAAAAACTTTTGTGCCATGATTGGAAAATCACGACTTCCCATCTAGCATGTGAGCCCAGTTGTATGATGTGCTAGTTATTCATGAATGCACCATTTGCTAAATTAACTGGGTCAACGATATATGATAAATTCCATTTGGACATACATGATCAAGAATGGAATCAATAGGTGTTATATTATCTGTTTTCATTCCTTACCCATCACAACTTGCACGTATATGAAGATCGAAGACTAGATTCCCTATCAATAGTCCTAATCCTCCCATAACCAGCCAACAAGTTCCCGATGGATCTTGCAGGTGGACAAGTTCGGAAACCAAATCTGACCTCTGGGTTCATGAATCGACCGATCAAGCAAATCATTACCAGTGACCCTGCCAGAGCATAACCCATGATCGCCAACCCAATGGTTTTGGCCAACACGATGTACATGCCCGAAGCAAAGGCTAGTACCATACCTAGAACAGCAATGTAAATACTGACTCCAGCAACATGCACATATCGCATTCCCACGGGCTCAAATTTGCCAGTTAGAGACAAATCGAACTGGAGGTAGATTGCAAGGACCGAGAAACAGAATGCTGTTGTGTTAAACACCACAAAGGCTTTGAAAGCCGCTTGTCTCGCGAAAGTTGCTGTCCCTTGGTCGGGCCCGTTGTCATTGTAGCCACCAGGCATTGTGAATGCTGCCGCAAAGGTGACCGTGGCAATAAACATTGCGATGAGCAGATAGTTGTCATGCACACATCCTTTTGATTTTTCGAATTTCTCTCGGTAGACCATATTCCCTGTGGTCATGGAAATGCTTGATCTTTCCTCACCATATTGCTTCTCAAGTCTCTTCACATGTTTAATAACCCGGTCTTGCATATCGTTGACACAAAACCATGCTTCCAACAAGTACTGAACTTTTGCAGCTTTAAATCCAACCTAAATGCACAGAATAAATCAATCGATCAATTATGGCATTTGTTACATAGGTGAAGGCAACATTTGATCAACCACATACAAAATGATCGTTGAAAGTGGACATATAGATGTTCCTCACTAGTTTTTCAACATGTCAAGACCCTGCTATGCCTTCCATACTTGAGATGAAACTGTTTAAGTTGTAGAAATTGAAAGTTACTTCAGTGTAAGATCAGTTTAGCGTTAAGGTCAACTCCGCACATTGGCTCAACGAAGTATGAGGTTGATGGGAAAGAAAAACCTACTCGGCACTGCATCTAAGGATAAACTCAAGGAAGAAAAGTGAGCTCATTCTGGTTATTGTTTGCGCATGCTTCATGACTGACCCTCGCCTTATGCCAAAGGCCGAGGTTTCGCCTAAGACTACAACGTGCAAATCGATTGCAAATAGAATGCATATGATGTGAAATATTTCTCGCTCCTATTTTGAGTGGATCCGACATAGAATGCATATGATGTGAAATAAATGCAAGTTGCATCACCATGCAAGAAAACGTACCTTTTCATGACCATCGAAAATGCCTAGGGCTGTCAAACGTTCCTTATTCGTGGCTGTGATGTCGACCCTCTCATCACGTGCTAGGATGTTCATCATGTCGTAGTCTCGGCAAAGAGCAGCCAAATGGAGAGCAGTGTTTCCATCTTTGTCTCGTACATTTATAAGATCCTCCAGTTTCGGTGTCTCCAACATGTGCTTGACGACCTTTATCTGTCCGCCTAATACTGCAGAGTGAAGAGCAGTTTGTCCTCTGCCATTTATCGAATCACAAGCGTCGGGACAGAATTTAATTAGCTCGTCCAGTACATCGATATGGCCAAGGAGCGCTGCAATATGAAGAGCGGATGCGCCGTCTTTGGCTAACAGGTATGCAGCGGAGACCTCATGCCGCAATAGTATTTGAACTGCTTCAACTTTGCCGAAGTGAGCAGCATAATGAAGAGGAGTCCACCCAATGTCATCTCCTTCACTGATCATGTGCGGTCTCTTGTTCACGATCGTTCTTAAGCAATCATGTCCTTCACACAGATCATAACCAAGAGAACCATCAAAATCTATCAAGACAGCTTTCCTGTGCCTGTAGAATAACTTTCATTTCAAAATGCAGCTTGATAATTTTTTTGCCTTCGGGCTAAGTACAGATTTAGGCCTTTCAAGTTTCAATGTTTGTGCAGTTTGATCCTCTAATTTTACTTTGCTCAACTAAGTTCTGTAACTTTTTTAACTTGTGCAATTTGGTCTTTTAAGTTTCACTGCAATCAAGTGCTTTAACTCTTTGGATTTGTGCAATCACATCCTTCGGTCAACCACTCTAACTAAATCGCCAAATCAGTTAACGACGTGGCATTGCTCATGTGATAGAAATGACACGTGATGTTAATTTGCTATCGAATGAGTAGAAAACAAATGGGGAAAAAGATCATAATATGTTAGTATTAGTTATTATTGGTAAACCTGCACTTGATTGCACAAATCAAGAAAATTAGAAGATCTGATCGCACAAAAAAACCTTAGAAGACCAAATGCGGATCAAGATATGTAAAGGACTTGAATGCAAAAAAAGTACCGAGTTTCCCAATGGCCTAACACTTAAAAAAATAAATCTATTCTTAGACCTTTCCTTTTGGGGGGAAAGATAGGCAACGTTAATTTACTTGCACATGGCATTGCTAATATATCTAATGCTAATAAAACTACCCAATTTGCGGCCGAGGCATACTTCATGCTTATCAACATTTCCCAGATAGACCCGTGCTAGCAATACACAATTACACGGTAAACCCGATAGTGGCCCGAGTTTAACATACGTAGCTTTTAACAAAAGTAGTGTTTTCATCGACGTGACTTGACACGATAACAAAATTCGATTGTGACATGTGAACACAAATCGTTAACCCTATCAATGGTACTTCGCTTCTTTGAAGACTCTCTTATTCAATTCTAATATGAGACGAGGACTTACACGGATACTGTGTTGAAGTGGTAGAGTTCACAGGAGAGTTTAAATGACTCCCAAGTGCTTTTGCATGGTTAAGCAATCCTTTGTTTTTGCTACATCAATGCCTTCACAACAAGTTATCTGATCAGGCTAAAGAAAAGTACAGAACCAGCCAGCCCGATTTGCATTAGAAAAGCTAGAGGTGATCGAACTGATCCCATGGTATGAGGAACTTACGTCCCATGGCTAAGTTAGCTACAACTATGGTGAGATACCAAGCTCTTTGGCCATGGCCTGCTGCTCTAGTTTCTTCTCCACTTTTTTCTCTCCTCTTGCTTAAGCTCTTCAAACTTCCAAGGATTCTTTTATCAAATGCCACATCACCCTTATACGCAAGTGATCCAATGCATGCAAAAAATCAGACTGTATAGTTCCTGCCAAGAGTATGGCCCAACTAAGATACATTAACTACTTCACTGCATTCCAAATTTCCGATTCGACACTTTTCTAACACAACTCATAAAGACTCTCACGGTTCCAAACACTGCCTTATTATGTAACTGTTACAATTGTTCCAAGTTAGCTAACCGCCTAGACGCCTCCACCCCACGCAGGAAACTTATGGTATTAGCATATGGATCAAGGAATAGACTTCTGCATGGATTAGGCGTACTGCACTTGTTCGATTTCTCACAGCATCAAGTGCGGACAATTTCCTGTTTGTGGCAACTATCCAGGCTTTTGGCTCTCATTTGATATGCTCGGCAAGATTAGTGGAACATTCGACGGGGATAAATTATTGAGTGAACATAATACATATACTAAAGTAATTCGGCTGAACCGCCAAGCCTGATAGATTTTTCTACCAAACATAGGCTTCCTCGCAAGAAGGAAAACATAGAGCGAGAAAGACTGCACGCAACTGAATTGTAAATTGCGGGAGAGACAGGCGCGCATACCTTGCGGAGTGTAGTAGATGGCCGCGTGCAACGCTGTCATGCCTTTGGGGCCTTTGGTAGAGGACGATGACGACGGCGACGGCGACGGCGGTGGAGAAGCATCTAATATGAGTTCGGCAATATCAAAAAACCCCTGCGCAGCAGCGAGATAGAGCGGGGACTCATCATCGCAGTTGGAGACATCGCACAGTGTTGGATCGGCTTCAACCAGCAACTTCACCGCCAAGGAATGGCCGTTCCTCACCGCTTGGTGCAGCGCGGTTTCCTTGTCGTCGTTCGCCTTCCGAAGAAGATCGACCAGCCTACCTCCTTCGATGTCGCCGTGCGGTGAACTTCTCAAGTAGTCAATTACGACTCGAACTATGTCGACGCACCCGACTCTTGCAGCAGTATGCAGCGGAGTGTGACCTTTGTAGTCCTCTTGCCAGAGGAGAGAGCCTCCTGAGGGGTGCTGATAGATGAGCTGCTCAACGAAACTCGCCTGCTTGTGCCGCGCCGCGATGTGGAGGACATTGTTGTCCATCGGCGTCTTCTGGTTCAACATGCATTCGGAGTGATCGTTATCCAACAATTTCATCAGTGAATCGAAGTCTCCCGACATTGCAGCCTCATACAGTTCGGGCTGCATCTCTCTCTCTCTCTCCGACACCAAGTATTCCTTATCTTCTGCCTGAAGGGATGAAGATATTGAGCATAATCTTAGATGACCAAGGAGAGAAACTTCGAAGTGTTTTCCATGAAACTCTCAGGAGTCAATGGCTCTCGGTCGACCCAGTTGTGTATGATGGGACAGGTAACAAGCATTCAAGGTGAGATCGCAGAAAACTACCATCTTGACTTTGACATGTACGGACAAGGGCCAAGTTTGGTTCAGCTTTGGGAAGGGGCCGCCCTTCCCAAAATGCTGAACCGTTTTGGTCCTGGCTTTCCGAGTCCCAGGAAGAGTCAAAGTTCAACATTTGGAATGCCGTTGGAATGCGAAGCCCAGTGGTCATGTTGGCATGTAGTTGAATCGGTTCTGAAAGCTAGTCCCGAGACCTCGCTTGAGGCCTTTACTAAGCATTCCACAACGTACTAAAAGCCTATTTTTCCACTTCCCAAAGTCAC